TGACCACCATCTGGTGCTTCTGGTCTCAAGGAAAAGTAGGCAGTTGTTCAGGGAAGCAATTAGCCACACATTTCTTCCTCTTGTTCCTAACTCTCCTCTTTCCTCCAGCACTCCATGTGAAAAGAGACAAATTGTTGTGCCACTTGGAAGTGGATGGCCACTTTCAAGTTACTTTCCCAGGTACTTCACAACTAGTTTGGAGTAGAACAGAAACACTGAATTCTACGTTAGTCAGTCAATCAGTCTAAATAAGAGACTATTTCTGTGTTGATTCCATATCTAACTTTGACATCTTGCCTGAAATATTTATCTTTATTATCTTTCTCATCTACATTTTCCCATAATTTTTCTTACTTAATTTTTCAGCCCAGACATTTTACATTAGAAAAGTCAGTTGCTAACAGATTAGGATATATGTATGTATATGATATATGCTTCCTAGTATTAGGACATCTAAAGTTATGCCCTTGGAAGACTGAAAAGAAAGAAAAAGTTCTGTGGCCTCAAGAATATGAACCCTTGATTACTGAGGCCTTGCAATGATTCTATTGTTGGTGTTAATTGCCATCAAGTTGATTCCTAATCATGGCAACCTCATGGACACAGAGCAGAATTGCTTTGTAGAGTTTTCCAGACTGTAATTTTAATGGAAGTGGATTGCAAGGCCTTTTCTTCCATGATACGGTGGATGAATCAAGTGCAAAGCATTTATGCCATGACCATTCGACCGCTAACCAGAAAGTTGGTGGCTCAAACCTGCCAGCCACTCCACAGAAAGAGACTGGGCAATCTACTTCCATAAAGATTTACCACCTCAGAAACCCACAGGGGGTCACTATGAGTTGGAATCAACTCGATGGCAGTGAGGGAGGGAGGCAGGGAGGGACCTTGCAATGATTCAGTAAACCTTGGGAATCTTTTGAATCATCGTGAGCCAAGTTTCTTATTTCTTATTTCATAACATCATTACAGATATTCTCTGTGCTTTGCATGCACTTCATACCTACATATACAAATATTCTCTACCTCAAAGTTAGAAAATAGCCTGCAGAGGTTAAGATTTTAAGTGAAATATTTTTCTAGCACTCTGCTTTTTTCAAGGTTTCTAGCAATGTGTTTCAGCTTAGCTGATATAGTCTGTATTATCAGAACCTCCTTGATACTTGACTACAGAGATGCAACAAGCCATGTACTAGACCTGGGTCAACAAACTGTAGCTCCATAAACAATATCTGATTTACTGCCTGTTTTTGTAAATAAAGTTTTATTGGAAACACAGTTTGCTTTCCCAATACAATGGTATATTGAATAGCTGTACTAGAGACAGTATGACCCACAAAGCTGAAAATATTTACTATCTGGTCCTTTATGGAAGAAGTTTACCAAACTGCTTTCTCCCTGAAGAAGGAAGTTGTTGAACTGAACAACTATTCTTTCATTTATTCCTATATTTACTGAGGGCCCATTATGTTCCAGGCAAAGTGTAATTTGAAACCACCTTGGTGCATGTGATTTGACAGATATGGTAAATACCTGAATCCCCAGACTCCCTTCTCTACATCCTAATGAGGAAACCACATATGCTTTACTGTCCCACATAGTGTGTGTTTGACGACTAGACTCCTCCAACTTGAGGAATGTGTTTTTCTGGTCTGTGGCTAAATCTTTCAGTCTGTTGGCTCTTCCCCCTCTGACTTTCTAGCCAGCTGTTAAGAACTGGGGACCAGGGTGCAGAGACCAATCATCTGTAAATGTCACCCTACTTTTGATCACAGAGCGTGGAGTCTCATACATTTAAAAATTGATTCCTAGTTTTATGTGTTTGTTTGAAAAGTTTTTGTTACTATGGTTATAAATACCCAAATTGTAAGTTCAGTTTTGACAATAAATTGCTGAGAGGTGAACTATGCAAACCCAGAGATTTTTGGAGAGTTCTCATATGGCAGTTGGGGGCTCATCCTGAGGCTCAAAGTTTTGGTTGCTTCCAGAGCCAACTCTGTTCTTTGGACAGTCCATTGATTAATCCTGACTGAGGGAAAAGGAATTCAGGTCACAGTCCGGGCCAGACTGGCTGCTTGGGTGCCAATTCCTGAGGATACTTTCTCTGCGTCATCTCTCTTATTGACTCCCTCCTTTTCTTCCTATTGCCTCTGTGCTACCTTTGGCTTTCAGTTGCTCTGCTTTGTTGTAGGGCAACAGACAATTCACTGATTTCCATACTCTGACACACTGCTGCGCTGTAGATGTGCCTAACCACAGCTAGATGGAAGCAGGGCCAAAACTAGAGCTCAATCTCCTGCCCCTCTTTCAGCACTCTTTCCTAAATCCCAAAGCTGCCTTTTACAGACTCTTCCCAATACTTGCACAACTGGCTTTTATCTGTTAGAGCCATTAATGGTTCAGTGGTAGAATTCTCACCTTCCATGTGGGAGACCCAGGTTCAATTCCCAGCCAGTGCACCTCATGCACAGCTAGGACCCATCTGTCGGAGAAGGCTTATAGGTTGTAATAATGCTGGACACGTTTCAGCAGAGCTTTCAAATTAGGATGAACTAGGAAGAAATATGCTTCCTAGCAATATATTCTTGTTCTGGTTACCTAGTGCCACTCTGACAGGAATATATACCACAAATGGGATAGTTCAAACAAACAGGAGTTTATAATTTTGGAGGCTTTAAGTCTGAATTCAAAGTGCCAGGTTCTAGGGGCTGGGTGAAAGCCCTTCAACCTTGAGCTTCCGCTCTGCCTCCTGCTCCTGGCCCACTGGAACTAGAGGCTTTTCTTCACTCAGACAGCTGCTGGCTGCTGAGACTGACAAGCCCAAGGTTGACAAGTAAAAGGGCACAGTCCTGATGTTACCAAACCACATGGCAGGCCATTAATTCAAGTCCATTGAAAGCATGGCAGGCTGCTGAACAATGACACAGCTACAGGCAGAGTTTAAGCATGCCTAAGCTAGCAACCATCCCCAAAGCTGTTTCTTATATATGGGAATCAGACCACATACGCAAAGTCAGCTACTCAGCTGCTTCCAGGAGATTCTACCATGGAATTGATTACCAGTCTCATCATGGGGAATACTACATCCAGCTGCCCAGCCACTCAACCTAGCCAAGATGACACACAAAGTTAACCACCATAATTCTCAAAACATATCCAATGGAAACTTTATGTATCACAACAGACCAATCCTCAACCAATTATGTGAATAGATAGCACCAGGAAGCACTTCATTCCATTGTGCATGGGGACATCATGCATCATTCAACATCAGCTAACAACACAATGACAAAGATTGAAGAAAGCCCAGTTTAACAGCTGATACCCTAGTGATTCCAACTCATAGCTACCCCATAGGACAGAGTAGACTGCCTTATAGGGTTTCCAAAGCTGCAATCTTTATGAAAGCAGATTGCCACATTTTTCTCCCATAGAGCAGCTGGTGGATTTGAACTGCTGACCTTTTGGTTAATAATCAAATGCTTAACCAACTGCACCATGAGTCAGAATTGACTTGACATTACACAGTAACAACACCAACAACTCTACTGATTTGGATAATTACATCTAAGGATCTTAACAGTATGGTGTTTCTGTATCCACCTATACAAAAAGTGACAGAAAATATCTAGTTTCTTCTAATTTCTCCCTTAATTAGAAAGAGTCCAGGACAATCATCTCATTGGTCTAACTGATAAAGTAAACCTGCAAAATTTTGGATTTTCTACAAGGCTCCTAAATCTTCAACCTGCCAGGCTCTTGGGGTACTCATCTCTGTGGTATATGGATCTGCGTGTCCCTAGTGCTACTTTCTGAGCCACACATGCCCATGGTATGTTGGGCCACACATACTTATCAGCTGTGACCTTTTAGTTCTGACACAGTGGTAGTGCTTCGATCCACCCCAGCGGCCAAGTGTAAGGCTATAAGGCTCTAATCACTAAGAGACATTGTGGAATGTAAGAGAAGAAGGAAAACAACAGAAGGAAGATTGCACTATGCTGCTTGGTGCTTAAGAGACAGGCTTTGGAGCGGGGCATATGTGGGTCTGAATCCCAACACTTCTTAACTGTGGGCAAGTTAGTCAGCCATTGCTGTCAAGTCAATTCCAACTCGTAGAGACTCAATAGAACAGAGTAGAACTGTTCCATAGGCTTTCCAAGTCTGTAATTACATGAGCAGACTGACACATCTTTCTCCCTTGGAGAAGGTGGTGGGTTCAAAGCACCACCTTTCAGTTAACAGTGAAGCTCTTAACCACTGTATCACCTGAGTTTCTCTTTAGCCACATTAGGGAAGATTATTTTATAATGTAAAGGAATAATAATAGGACAAAACCTCAATTTGTTCCCATTGCCCTAGAGCAAATACTCAAAAGTCAAGCATTGTTATTTAGGAAAATGGTTGAGTAATAACCATGAAAATACCACACAAAGTAATTTTCAGATCAGATTTTTGCAACAATAACTGAGATTCTAGGCCTAATTTATACATCCCAAAAGGAAGAGATTTGATTTGTAGTCTCACAAGCCCAGGCATCTCTGAGAAGTCAACTCATTAAGCATAAACTCAAACACATTGAATTCTAAGGTTTTGAATTGCATGGGTTGGGGGTATAAGGGAACTAACTGGCTTTAGGTGCAAAATGTGCCCATGAATATTGACAAAAGTGTCCAGCCACAATAGACAAAATCCCACCCACGAGGCAATATCACCCAGGACAGCAGCACAAGATAGGGAAATCATGGAAAATTGAGACAAAACCACAATCCACTATCAAATGCTAACTATTCAAAGAAAGTATCAAAGACAATGAATTTCAAGGTTTTGAATTTTTTCTGTATCCAGATGGTAACAGCCAATTAAAATGTCTGCACAAAAACAGAATACCCCAACTCTACAAACAATGCACATTATCGCTGACAACCTTACCAAGTATCAAAGTTTAGCATGGTTTTTTTTGCTATATATTTATTCCCTTCCATTATTTCCATTCATAGGGGTCAAGCAGCCTGTCCCTGGAGACACTGGTGTTAGTAGAAATGTGTCAGTGGACTCAATCCGCTCCACCAAAAGACCAGGTAAGGAAGAAGATGCTGACTCCCTTACAGCAGCTCGGCTCTGAAACGTGGACATTAACTGCAGTATCATTTGTTGCAGCAAAAGCAGCAACATCCACATGACCCCAAAGTGTCAGAACCGTGTTAACAGTATTTGGTACTAATAGACAAACACTCCAAAATATTATCTTTAGGGGAATGGAAATGCTCTGTAGACAAATTAAATATTAATAAGAACCTCTAACAGGTACCAATTTAATAATTATTGTCTGTGATATTCTGAAGGGCCACAATGGGCAAATATTGAAGTGTCATTATGAGTTCTAGTTTCCATTATGTTCAAGTTAGCTCTTGTGGAATTTATTTACAGTACCCTTCTATCAGATATGTTGTTCTCAATTTAATATACTCTACGTAATAAGACTAAATCATGAAGCCAGTGAGTGAGAATACCTTCGCATTGACTAAGGACATGAGTTTTATTTTATTTTTATTTTAAAAGCTGTTTTACGTTCAACGTTACATGTACATTTAGTTTCACTCCCCATTTACCGTGTCCAACCCTAACCCAGTCTCTTCCCCTCCCTACACTGTAGCCCTCCCCCTGTGCCCGTCATATTTATGCACTCCTGTTTGTTCTGCATTTCCTCAAACTGAATGTTGGTCCTCTGGTGCCCCCTGGTCCATTGCTCTAAGGGATGTATTACTATAGAGCATGTGGGTGCATCTTCCTGGGTTGAGTGGTCTGCATGTACTTCTTGTTAACTATTGGGCTGAGAGCCAGCCCCTGGAGTGAGTTTTATTCCAGGTGCAGAATGTATCCCAGGGCCATAGTATTGGGGGTCTCACCAGACTCCATCTGACCAGTAATTGTGGTCGTTATTGAGTTTTTGGATTTTGTTCCACGCTTTTCCTCCCACTCTATCCAGGATCTCCAGATTTGATCCTTTCCTGAGTGGTTGGCATTAGTAGCAGGGCATCATCTAGTTCTTCTGGTCTCGAGGACCATCGTGTCCTATGGCTGATTGCTTCCAAATGCCCTTGTTTTGTTTTGTTTTGCATTCTTCTTCACTTCCGATGATAGGAGACTGTTAGCTGCATCTTAGATGGCCACTTGAAAGCTTTTAAGACCCCGGTCACTACTCACCAATGTAGGATGCCAAACAAGGCTCTTATGTATTATGTTGTGTCAATTGAGTCCAGTGTCCCTCAGTACAATGGCCCTGAGCCAGTAGATCTACTGGATCTCTCTCCCATAGTATCTGGGTGTCTGTGATGGATTGATTACTCTGTGTCTGTCTTCTATTGTTTCTGTAATGATTGCAGGTATTTTATATCACTGGTGTCTGTGCAAGATTAGCCTCAGCTGAATCTACCCTTGAGGACTTGATTTTTCTTAAAGTATATTGTGAGACTCACACTAGTGTATTTATATCTGGCCTATACACTATATCACCAGCACTCCACTCCACACATACACACTCCCCACACACACACATTCCCTGGAGTATCCCAGGAAGTACTTAAAGCCACAGAACATTTTCCTGGATTGTCAATTTCACTTGAAGATTTTAAAAACCACATAATTTACTATAGAAGGAGATGAATTTTTAAACTGTAACACAGACTTCAAGGAAATTTGGGGTTAAAGCAAAATGCTTCAGGCACCCCCAGCCTCACCAACATTGTGCAAAGTACTTCTAGTTAGATAAATATCTCTTCCTCTGGACTGGCAGACTGGTACCAAGGCTCATGGGTGGGTTAGGAGGGTGGGTGCTGGACGTCAGTCCCACTTGCATCACCCCAGTCAGGCACAACCACCACAACTATTCTTGGTGACCCTGCTCACCATGGGCACAGGCTTCTCACTTCTGCCATCAGGACTACTTTGGTGTATTATTTGAGAAGTTGTGAAGGTATTTTGCTAATCATAATCACATTTGAGTTGGAAAATGAAGTGGAGCTCTCAGAAAAAGAGACCTGATATACAGAAAAATATAAAGCTAAAATGATACAGGAAATTGCAGTCTCAAAATCAAAGGCAATTGGTGATGAGGATGATTAAAATATTACTTTAAGTCTACATTAAAAAAAAATTAACTGCCATTGAGTTGATTACAACTCAAAGCAACTCCCTTTGGGTTCTGAGGTGGTAAATCTTTATGGAAGTAGATTGCCCAGTCTTCTTTCCATGGAGTTGCTGGTGCGTTTGAATTGCCAACCTTCTGATTAGCAGTCAAACGTCTTGGGCACTACTCCACAAGAGCTCCTTTAAGCTTACATAGGAAACTAAAAATGTTAATATCTATACAGTCTTTTAAATGGCAGACATATCTATATATTTGTAATCTTTAATTAGAGGAGATGTTTTCCATATGTCAGTACGCTAACTATCAAAAGTTCTTTTTAGAAATCTGTGGTTTTAAATAGTGAATCCTCATGATGCCTTCATCTATTATATAATCTCTTAACCACTATCCCAGGCACTCGCCGCCCACCCTTGTCACCTAGACCGACACCACTACAAAGAAAACCTTTATCACAGACTGTCACTGGAAAGCCAGGAAGTACAGGTATGTCCATCAGTATCTTCCTTCTCCCTCTGTGATTTCGGTTTTACTAACTAACCACAAGCCCTTCTTGGTATGATAGCTCATGCAACAGACAAGTCAGAGGTTTCTGGGGCATGTGCTATGTGGTCCCTGGGGAGAAGGCACTGTAAATTACAACTGTGAGGACTCATATCCTGAGTCTGAGTGTATGTGCTAATGGAAGCCATTCCTCTGCATCTGGACTAGTTTTCTTCATAGATGTTTCTGTACATGGAGCATGAGACAGAAGCTGACTCATGCTCTTCAACAACAAGTAGATTATTTTGTATACTGTTTGTTGCCAACAACTAGAGGTGATGGAAAATGTGATTCCATCATCAGCTTATCATTCTGTTTCCTGAAATGGAATCCTAAACATGTCATGGAAAGCTCCCCTGTCTACCATCCTTGATACTGGCTACCATAATATGGTGCTCGTGGGAAGACTGGGACAGGAATATTCAGGGTGACAACCATATGATCTACTAAGCTGGAAATGACAATTTGAAGAGGAATGGCACGGCATTCATCGTCACAACGAATATTCAAGATATATCATGAACTAAAAATGCTGTCAGTGATAGGATAATATCCATATGCCTACTAGGAAGACCAGTTAATACTACTATTATTCAAATTTATGCACCAGCCACCAAAGCCAAAGATGAGGAAATTCAAGATTTTTACCAACTTCTGCAGTCTGAAATTGAGCAAACTCTGCAATCAAGATGTGTTGATTATCACTGGTGATTAGAATGCGAAAGTTAGAGACAAAGGCAAATCACCAGAAGTTGGAAACTATGGCCTTGGTGATAGAAATAGCACTGGAGATCACATGATAGAATTTTGCAAGATCAATGACTTATTCATTGCAAATACCTTTTATCAACAACCCAAATGGCAGCCATACACATGGACTTCACCAGATTATGTACACAGGAATCAGATCGACTACATCTGTGGAAAGAGGTGATAGAGAAGTTCAATATCTTCAACCAAAACAAGGCCAGGAGCTGACTGTGGAACAGACCATCAACTGCTCATATGTAAGTTCAAGTTGAAGCTGAAGACAATTAAAACAAGTCCACAAGAACCAAAATATGACCTTGATTATATCCCTCCTGAATTTAGAGACCATCTAAAGAATAGATTTGATGCATTGAGCACCAATGAGCGAAAACCAGAGGAATTATGGGATGACATCAGAAACATCATCCAGGAAGAAAGCAAAAGGTCATTAAAAAAACAGAAAAAGAAGAAAAGACCAAAATGGATATCAGAAAAGACTCTGAAACTTGCCCTTGAAATGTTGTTGTTGTTGTTGTTATGTGCCATCAAGTCGGACTCGACTCATAGCGACCCCTCCTTGGGTTTCCGAGGCAGTGTCACTACGGAAGTAGATTGCCCAACCTTCCCTCCAAGGAGTGACTGGTGGGTTTGAAGCGTCAGCCTTCTGGTTAGCAATCAAATGCCTTAGGCACTATGCCATGTCAAGATAAAAGAGCTGAACAGAAGATTTCAAAGAAGAGCTTGAGAAGACAGAGTCAATTATTATAATGAAATGTGCAAAGACCTGGAGTTAGAAAACAAAAAAGGAAGAACACATTCAGCATTTCTCAAGCAGACAGAACTGATGAAAAAAATTCAAGCCTCAAGTTGCAATACTGAAACATTCTATGGGAAAAATATTGAATGATATGGGAAACATCAAAAGAAGATGGAAGGAATACACAGAGTCACTGTATCGAAAAGAATTGTCCAGAACTGTCTCGTGACATTGACTGCAATTCCCCGCAGTAGTTATCTCCCTCCCTGTAGTTACCTCTTCCCTGTGTCCTTCCCTCCCATGCACTCTCACCCTCTCGCAGGGTCTCCCTGTGCAAACATTACCCTTGTGTTCTCTCATGACTGATCACTACAAGGAGTGTGTCTACCTGATGTAAACATTCACCCCATATGCCTGTCTATTATTTGGTTGGAAGCTACAGAAGTAAGTTCAATTCCAGGGGCCATAGTCTCAGGGGTCTCACCAGGCTCTAACAGACCAGCAAACCTCATTTTTTTTTCCTTTGAGTTTTTTTTTCACATTGTTCTCCCACTCTATCCAAGATCTCCGCTCTGATTCACCTCCAAGTGGTTGACAGTGAGAGCCAGGTACCATCTAGTTCTTCTACTTTCATGGTCATATTGGCTGAGAATCGGATGGTGTACCAGGACTAATTGTTTCTATATGTCTTTGGTTTTCTTCATTCTTCTTTGCTCTGGACAAGGAGAAAGCCATGATAGTGCATCTTCTCTTGATTTCTACTTGCCCTCTTAGTGTGGTCTACTCCCACTGGAACCAGAAGCTTGAGTCCCCAAGGTACTAACTAGAAACCCATCTGAACGATTTGTCTGGGATTCCATGCTGGCATGGTCTTTAGGTCAATCTTGTGTCCTTTGACTCTCTGTTGCTTGAGAATGCCTCCTTTTTTCAAGAGGATATATGAAATCCAGGCTAGCCTACACTCTATTCTCAATACTCAGATCTGCCTGGATCTTGAGATGGATTCAGTTTTAGAGACCTGTACATATTTTTGTAGGATCCCTGGTAGTTCAGTGGTTCAGTGTTCATCTGCTAACTGAAATGTTGGTGGTTTGAGCCCATCAGCTACTCTGTGGATGAAAAATGGGCAAACAGTCTGCTTCTGTAAAGATTTCAGCCTTGGAAATCCTATGGGGGGAACTTTTACTCAGTCTTATTGTGTCCTATGAGTTGGAATTCCCTTGATGGGTTTTTATACATGTTTTTGCAAGAGTAGAGACGTCACTCTTGAATGTAGCACTTTTCTGGTCATCAGGCTAGAATCATAGTAGTTATCTTAAAAATCTTTTTTCTCTTCTCAAGAAATCTCCAAGTCAAGCCATTCCGTCTCTTGATATCTCACATGTCTAATCTCTCCCATCCAGTCCCACCACATCTGCCAGGTTGCAGCCTTCTCTGCTCTTGCACAACAAAATTCAATTGCCATCAAGTTAACTCCAACTCATGGCAACCTCCTGTGTGTCAGAGTAGAACTGTTCTCCATAGAGATTTTCAGTGGCTGATTTTTCATAAGTACATCACCAGGCCTGTCTTCCAAGGCACCACTGAGTGAACTTGAACCTCGAGCCTTCCATTTAACAGTTAAGCACATTAACCATTTGCATCACCCAGGGGCTCTTTTTCTTTTTTTCGTTTTTTTAAATGCATTTCATTGAAATATAATTTATGTACAGTGAAATACACAAAATTAAAGTGGCATGAGTTGATGCATTTTTTGTTTTTTGTTTTTTGCAGTGTTCCCTCCCTACCACCCCTGGTAATCAACAAAGAAAGTTCCCTTTCATATATAAACTTTTCCTTGACTTTTTACATGAATGAACTAATACAATATTTGTCCTTCTGTGATTGACTTATTTCACTCAGCATAATGTCCTCCAAGTTCATCCATGTTATGAGGTGTTTTGCAGATTCTACATTATTCTTTATGGTTGCATAGTATTCCATTGTGTGTATGTACCACAGTTTGGTTATCCATTCTTCTGGTGATGGGTATGTAGGTTGTTTCCATCTTTTTGGTGTTGTAAATAGTGCTGTGATGAACATGGGTGTGCATATATCTATTCTTCTCCTGGCTCTCAATTCTTTAGGCTAAATACCTAGTAATGGGATTGCTGGGTCAAATGATATTTCTAATTCCAACTTTTTAAGGAATCTCCATACTGTTATCCACAGTGGTTGTATCATTTTACAGTCCCACCAGCAGTGAATGAGAGTCCCAATCTCTCCACATCTTGCCAATATCTCCCATTTTCTGTCTTGTTGAAGTTTGCCATTAGTGCTGGGGTGAGATGGTATCTTATTGTTGTTTTGATTTGTATCTCTCTGATGGTTAATGATCATGTGAGCATTTCTTCAGGTATTTGCTGGCCGTCTGAATATCTTCTTTGGTAAAAGTGTCCATTCATGTCTTCTGCCCATTTTTTAATTGGATTGTTAATTTTTTTGTTGTTGAGGTGTTGGAGCTTTTATAAGTTTTAGAGATAAGTCGCTTGTCAGACATGTATTTATCAACAAGTATGAATTTGTTGCTGTCATTTTGTTATGTGCTTTTTTGTGGTGTTGATTTCTTTGTTCCATATAATTTTCTGCACTGAGCTCATTTTGTTTATGAATTGTGTTATCACTTCCTTCGTTGCTAATGTTTTAGTATTTGCTAAATATTTGTACTGGTCCTCTTTTTTATTTTGATGTGAAGGTTTATCACTCTTCTTTGAGGTGGTGATTTATAATTTCTTCCCAAGTTTAGAACAGCCTGTTCTATTTTGTAGTTGTCTTAACTTCCCTGCCATTTAGAAGTTCTGTAACTACATAGTTTTTTCCCTCTTTCTGCTTTTTAGTTGTCCTCATTTGTCAGTTGATGTTTCTGGTTCCCTGTTTACAATCTTGTAGCCTTATTTATTTTGGATAATTCTATAACTGGGTTGGTTTCTGGGTTATGTCATCAGGTGTGTCAGTTGTTGTTTGCTGTTGTTGATTTTCTATCCAGGGACTCCCTTTAGGATCTCTTGTAAGGTTGGTCTGGTTTTAACAAATGCCCTTAATTTCTGCTTATCTAGAAATGTCCTAATTCCACCATCATATTTGAAGGAAAATTTTGCCAGGTATATAATTCTTGGTTGGAAATTTTTCTCTTTCAGGGTTTTATATATACCTTCCCACTGTCTTCTCACCTGCATGGTTTCTGCTGAGAAATCTGAGCTTATTCTTATTGGTTGCCCCTTGTAGGTAACTTTTCATTTTTCTCATACTACTTTTAGGATTCTTTCTTTGTCTTTGGTTTTGGTGAGTTTGATGATGATATGTCTTGGTGATTTTCTTATGGGGTCTATGGTTTGTTGGACTTCTTGAATGGATATATTCTCATCTTTCATCATACCAGGAAAATTCTCTTTCAACAAATCTTTGACAATTTTTTTCTATGGTTTTATTTGCCTCTTCCTGTTCTGGAATTCCCATTACATGTAAGTTATCCTTTCAGTGGTATCCCACATGAACCTTAGGCTTTCTTCATTTTGTTTTGATCTTTTTTCTGATTGATCCCTTTCCAAAAAAGTATTGAGGTATTTTTCTTCAATCTCACTAATTCTGTCTTCCATTGATTCAATTATACTCCTTTACCCATTCAATGTGTTGTCTGTTTTGGAAATTTAGCATTAATCTTCTGTATTTCTGTCTGTAGATTTTGTATCATTTCTAATTTTTCATTTATTTTGTCATTTGTTCTTATATTATCTTTCAAAATTGTTCTAGGGTTTTCTTTGTGTTTTCCTCAATTTGGTCAATGTTTTCCTTGATCTGTCTCTGAATTCACTGAAGGTACCTAAATATAATTCTTTTGAATTCCTTATCAGAGAGTTCCAATGCTGTATCTTCCTCTGGGACATGTTTTAGATCTTTTTCCTGGTCCCTTGTTTCTCCTGTTCTGTCTTGCTTCTTTGTGTGCACTGTGATGCTCTGTTTTCTCTGAGGCATTGTGACATTTTTGTGTTTATATTTAATTGGTGATTGTATGTTGGAGTGATTGGCCCATGATTTTTGTTTTCTTCATTTTGCTTGTATTTTATCTACATAAGCAGGATACTGTGCTGTGCTCCTCTTTTCACTAGTTGGCAGCATCTATATACTCACCCCCTGTCTCCTTTCCCATTGTCTGCCTCCCATATGTCCCTGCTGTCCTTGGCAAACAGAGCCTATTCTTAGGTTCCTGGAATCTGAATGAAAGTGCTCTCACTTTAAAATCCAAAATGGCCACCACTTGTAAACATTCAAAATGGCTGAACCCTCAGTCACTTTAAATATCCAAAATGGCCACTGGTTATAAACAAACAAAATGGCTGTGCCCTTGGCACTTTAAATATCCAAAATGGCCACCACTTGTAAACAATCAACATGGCTGCACTCCTGGTCACTTTAAATATCTAAAATGGCCACCATGTGTAAACAATCAAAATGGCTATGCCCTCCAGACAGCCCAAAGCCCACAGCTCAGGTTGTCTCTCTCCCTGCTATTTCCCTTTCTAGTCATAGGTCACCAGTGAAGTCATCCCGGTAGCCCTTAGTGACCAGGGCTGATCTTTTAGGTCAATTGTCAGGTCTCAACACCACTTGGAAGTATTCAGGCTGTTGGTCTTATCAAAGTAGTTGACAGTGCACTGCTCCCACTGTCTCCATACTCACTGTTTTCATTCAGGTTTTTCCACTAGTTGGTGCCTCGTCCACTTCTGTATACTTCCTTTCAAAGCTCAGGGCTCCAGGATTATCTTCTGTATCTCTGTCAGTTGGTTTCTCTTTTCTGTGTTGAAGAGGGTCTGTGGAGCTTGTCTGCCTATTCTGCCATCTTACCAGAAGTCTAGGAAGTCCTTTTCTTGCATACACAACTATCTTAATCTCCTGACTTCTATCCCTGCCACCAGCCTTACACACTAACAAATCATCTTCTTCCCATCTGATTATGTTACTTCCCTATTTAGAATCTTTCACTTGGTCCTGATTGCCAAAAATAATGTCCAAATCTATAGCACAGTATGCAAGACCCTTGATAATCTGCCTACCCTGCCTCTCCACTCAGTTCTCACTGTACTGGCCCCTTCAAACTTTTTTTGGGTCTCTGAACTCACAAAGTAGTTTCATGGTTCCCTGCCTTAGTTCTTGTACCTTCTGACTGGAAAACAGCTCTCAAGCCCACCTACTGGTCACTTCTCCTGCTTATAGATATATCCTCTGTGAAGACATTGTTACCTTTCCCCCTCAACACCTCTCATCTGTCCCCAGAGACATAATCACTCTCTTCTTTTGCCCTCCTTGTGACCTCATCAAGTTCTTTAACAATATCTATAATATACTTGGTCCACACACTTATCTCTATCAAGGACTAGGTGTTATTTTCTCTCCAAATCTGATATATAGTCCCAAGCCATATAGTAGGTGCTTAATAACTACTTAGTGAATAAATGGGAAACTTGACAGTAGTGCTGTAAAACTGAGTGTTTTGGCTCTACATTACAGGAGTTGTTTCATCAGGCCGAGTAACTTTCCCACCTTTGAGGGCAACACTTGGGCCTACTGAAGTCCCCTTAGAGAGAGTGGAGACAGACAAAAAGCAACCAACAGTTCCTGCCTCTGGAGAAGAATTAGGTTAGTATGTCAGCCAATTCTCCTTGGATACTCAGCTACAAGGTATAAAATTGTCAAATAAAGTGTGGGGGTAGGAGGTGTCTCAGTGCGGGATCTTCTATTTTATTCAATTTTATGATTAATATGGATTTTTTACATTTAAAATTATATTTATTTTCAGTGCTGGGTTATAGAGTATGTTCCTTCTCTCAGCAGACATAAAGTACCCAGTTTGGTTCCTGAAAATAGCTTATCCTGTATGTAATACTAAGTCAAATGTCATTAATAATTAGTATACATATATTATTAATGAGCATTAACTAGTTGGTTGTTGTTGTCAGATGCCATCAAGTTGATTTTGACTAATAGTGACCCTAGGTGCAACAATGGAACACTGCCTGGTCCTGTGCCATCCTTCTAATCACTGCCATACTTGAGCCCATCATTGCAGCCACAGTGTCAACCCATCTTGTTGAGTATTTTTCCCTTTTTTGTGACCCTCTACGTTACCAAGCATGATATTCTTCTCTGGGGACTGGTCCCTTCTGAAAATATGACCAAAGCACAACAGATGAAGTCTAGCCATTCTTACTTCTAAGGAGCACAATGGCTACACTTCTTCCAAGACAGATTTGTTTGTTCTTCTAGTAATCCATGGTACATCAGTATTCTTCACCAACACCACTACTCAAATGCATTGATTCTTTTGCAGTCTTCTGTATTCATTGTCCAGCTTTCACACGTAGGTAAGGTTATAGAAAATACCATGGCCTGGGTCAGGTGTACTTCAGTCTTCAAACTGACATCTTTGCTCTTTAATACTTTAAAGAGGTTTTTGCAGAAGATTTGCCCAATGCAATACTTCCTTTGATTTGTGGACTGCTGCTCAAAGGGCATTGATTGTGGATCCAAGTAAAATGAAATCCGTGACAACTTCAATCTTTTCTCCATTTATCACAATGTTGCTTATTGGTCCAGTTGTGAGGATTTTTGTTTTCTTTATGTTGAGGTGTAATCCATACTGAAGGCTGTAATATTTAATCTTTATCAGTAAGTGCTTCAAATGCTCTTCACTTTCCACAAGCAAGGTGGTGTCATCTGCATATTACAAGTTGTTAATGAATCTTCCAACAATTCTGATGCTGTGTTCTTCATAAACTAGCTGGTGGTAATCTATAATTCATGAGTTTTGCAACTCCAACATACCTGCAGTAGGATGCAATTAAAGGCCTTTTACTGTGTACAAATATGTGTAATAATAATAAAGGAAATCAAAAGCTGTAAGTAATTAATTAGGAGGAAGATTGAATCATTTTCACTACTTTTTCATTGTATTGTGAAACTGTCTTATGCTTTTGCCAAAATTGTTCACTATCTTCCATTCTCAGATAATATAACTGACTTTAGCTCCAGCCCAACAAGCGAAACTGATCCTCTTGGGAAGCCCAGATTCACGGGTATGTATAACTAGCTCCAAATCTCAGTTTTGACAGGGATACCTTTGGTCAGCTATTTTATGTAACAGGCAACTGCAAAATCTTAGTAACCTACTTCTAAGGATGTATTTTTCATGGACCTGTTAACTTGGGAGCAGCTAACTTAGAATGTGCTTGGCTGAGTGGTTCTGCTGCATGTACAGCTGGGCTTTTGGTGAGTTGGGCTCAGGTTTGCTCCACAAATTTGCTGTACAATAGATTAGTTTGCACTGTGTGGAATTTTATATAAATGAATACATTATTGCAAAAACGGCAAGGAGGCCACATGTTCTGACCTCCTCTAATCTCACAAGAGGAAGACAGCAGTAACCCAAGGCCTATTATTGCAAGGCCAAACATGCTGCCTCCCTCCAACCCTTTCACCAACCGTTCCTCCCAAAGCACCCACCACCTCTCTCCTGGGCTCGATAATTCACTGCAATGGCCACACAGAACTCACAGATTACAGGGTTTATTAGGGAAGCACCAGGCTACAACTCAAGTTCAGGAAGAACACTCAGTCTCTCTCCCAGCCCACCGTCCCTCAGCCAAGAGTCTCTCACAGTCTCTTTCCCAGCAGTGCTGGTCCCTCGGTGTCTCACTTAGCAATGCGTGTCTCTTGCGTCTCTTTCCCAGCAATGTGTGTCTCAGGAGCCCGTGTCTCTTTCAGCAGCACGTCTTCCTCAACCAGCAGTCAGAGAGAGTTCTGCCTCCAGGAGGTCTCCTTTAGAGCCCGCAGGGTGGTCAAACTAGCCAATTATAGCATCAGAACTCTAAGCACCTGAGAGAGAGCGGGCACCTCCCAGAACGTTGTTTTGTGCCACTCCCAACAGAAATACTCCAGGTGGACACCTTCAGCAATCAGGAGCTCCTCAGTTGCTCATAGCAAATCCCACCTTGGAGTTTACAAAGACTTATGGGTAGAAAAGCCACACTAAGTAATTTACTACACTGCAATTATAAAATCTCTTTTTGTCTCTTTCACTCTGCATCTGTGTAATGGAGATATTTATGGATTCATAGATGCTGCTGTATGTATCAATAGACCATTCTTTTTTATTGCCAACTAGTATTCCCTTGTATGGATACATTATTTTGTTTATTCATTAACCTGTTCATGACATTTGAGTTGTTTCTAGTTTTTCACTATTACCAGTAAGCAGCTATGAACATTCATGCACAAGTCTTTATATAGACATATGCTTTTATCTCTTTTGGATAAACCTAAGAAGTAAAGCCTATATCATATATAAGTATATTGAACATTTTAAGAAACTGCTTAACTATTTTCCAAAGTGATTATCTTCCTATTAGCAGTGTATGAGAGTTCTAGATGATCCATATCCTTGCCAACAATTGATAAGGTCAGATTTTTCATTTTGGTCATTTTATTAGGTGTGGAGTAGTATTTCATTGTAGCTTTAATTTGCATCTCCTAATGCTGAACATGGGGGCTCTGGTAGCATAGTGGCTAAGGCACTTGACTGCTAACCAGAAGGCTGGCGGTTCAAACCCACCAGCCACTCCTCGGAAGGAAGGTTGGGCAATCTACTTCCGTAGTGATACTGCCTCGGAAACCCAAGGAGGGGTCGCTATGAGTTGGGTCTGACTCGACAGCACACAACAACAACAACAGTGCTGAACATCTTTTCATATGTTTGCTTGCCATACATATATCTTTTCTGGTAAAGTATTTTTTCAGATTTTTTGCTTGAGTCATTTTATTGGGTTGTTTGTTTTCTTATTATTGAGTTTTGAGTCTTTATACTTTTCTGAATAGAAGTCCTTTTTCAGATATATGCTTTTATAAATATTTTCTCTGAGTATGTGACCTCTCTGAGGCAATATCAGATAAACAGCAGAAGTAACATAGTGTGAGATTATACAACAGAACTAAATTTTTATACATACTACCTTCATGTGACATAAACAAATGCCTATTTATTGCTCAGTAAAAACTACACAGTGATGACTCCATTTTCCCTGGATAATGTATGATCAGACAGCTCCTGTCTTGTCTCCAGCACTTCTGGGCCCTTCCTCTCATTCAAGACATGTTCCCATCCACTGCCTCAAGTCAATTCTGACTCATAGTGACCCTATTGGACAAAGTAGAACTGCCCCATATGGTTTCCAAGGCTGTAAATCTTTACAGAAGCAAAGTGTCTCATCTTTCTCTCATGGAATGACTGGTGGGTTCAAACTGCAAACTGCCAACATTTTGCTTAGTGCCAAATGCCTTAACCACTCCCCCACCAAAGCTCCCTAAGCTATGCTTAAAAAAACTCACTGTCCTCGAAACAGATCGGACTCATAGTGACCCCTCCTTGGGTTTCTGAGGCGGTATCACTATGGCAGTAGATTTCCCAATCTTCCTTCTAAGGAGTAGCTGGGTTTGATCTGCTAGCCTTGTGGTTAGCAGTTTAATGACTTAGGCGCTATGCCACCAGGGCTCCCAAGCTATGCTTAGGGGCACCAAATTACTTTTGGGGGTTAGCATAAGCTAAACCTATTTAGAAAAGTAAATCAACAACAACATCCTTATCATGTATCCCAGAGACAGGATTTGGGATTATCATAAGTTTGAACCATCCACACCACTGCTCTCCTTCATCTGCCTATAAGATGAGGCCAGATTCCCTCAAACATGTATTTATGAGCTCATCTCTTTCTTCACAAGCTCCAAAAAAATGCTAAATCTCAGAGTTCTCTCTCTCAGGCCCTCATGTGAGATACATCCCAAAGCCTGACAACCGACCCTGTTCCATCACCGACTCTGTCAAGTGGTTCCCCAAAGAAGAGGCTACAGAAGAGAATGCTGTCATCCCACCACAGAACCCACCAACCAACCTGACTGTGGTCACTGTGGAAGGTTGCCCCTCATTTGTCATCTTAGACTGGGAAAAGCCACTAAATGACACAGTCACTGGTAAGATCATGGCACAAGGACTGTCACTGTGGTGAGAAACTTTGCTTTTGTCATGAGTTGAAAGTGTAGTAAAGTTGGATCAAACTCTGGCCTAAGCATTATATCTGAGGAGGAACAAGTCCCTGCAGATGTCTTCTGTCTTTAGGCACATTATTATCAAAAGTGTCATATCATGGGGGGAAAAAAAATTGTCATAGTTATGGGCTCCCTGTTAATTTATCAGTTCTCCCCCTGCCTTTTTTTTTTTTTTTTAATTGTGATTTGGATGAAAGTTTACACAGCAGATTGGTTTTCCATTCAACAATTCATATACATTCTGTTTTGTAACATTTATTGTAATCCCCACACTGTAACAGCATTCTTCCCGCTTCCTCCCTACACCCATCCCTTCCCTTCATCATCCCTTTCCATCCCCTACCACCTTCCTAGCTCTAACCCTTAGCAAATGTTGTCCTCTTAATCTCATATGGTTGATTGTTCTAATGAGTACATACCCTCCTGATTTTACTGTTTACCTTATAGGCCTGTCTATCATTTGGCTGACAGATGAATCACAGGGGTTAAGTTAAGTTCCTAGCTTGAAGGATGTCAAATGTTCAGTCTTGGGGGTTCTACCAGTCTTCATCAGATCAGTAAGCCTCGTCTATTTTTTTTTTAGGATTTTGAGTTTTGTTTCACATTTTCCACCCCTCTATCCAGGAGTGGATAAAGGCATCTTACTGTGATCCCTTTCAGAGTGGTCAACAGTGGTAGTGTGGCACCATCTAGTTCTTCTAGTCTCAGGGTAGTGGAGGCTGGGGTTCATGTGCTCCATTAGTCCTTTGGACTAACTATTTCCTTTTGTCTTTGATTTTCTTCACTTTTCTTTGCTCTGGACAGGGAGAGACTAATAGTTACACCTTAGATGACTACTCACAAGCTTTTAAAACCCCAGTCACTACTCACCAAAGTAGAATGTAGAACATTATCTTTGTGCACTATGTTATGCCAATTGACTTTAGTGTCCCCCAAGACTATGGTCCTGAGCCTCCATACCCAGCAACTCATTCCCTTAAGGTGTTTGGTTACGACTAAAACGTTTTCCTAACTTTATCCCCTGTATGCTCTACTATATTCTTGTGTATATTTATAGCACATATAAATACATAGGAGATACAGCCTCTTTAGCAGCTCTTTTATTTTTATTTATTTATTTTTAATGTTTTTTGTATTCTGCATTTCCTCCATGTGAATGTTGTCCCTCTGGTACCCTGTGGTTGATTGCTCCAAGAGATGCATCTCCATAAAGTATGTGGGTTCTTCACCCTGGGTTGAGTGGTCTGCGTGTACATCTTGTTTACTATTGGGCTGAGAGCTGCATTCCTTCCATCTCTCAGAGCTCTTTTTTACAGTGTGAAGATATAGCTAATCTCTTCATTACTAAGAGAATTACAGAAATTACGTTAGCAGTTTTGCCACTGCTGATGATATTTGAACCAGTTTTCCTCAGAGTGAGAATGGTGACACGCTTGAAGAATTTACATTCAGTGTCACTAAATGGTACATGCAGAAACTGTTGAAGTGGTGTATATTCTGTTGTGTATATTCTCAACAACATAAAATTATGTTATAAAAATAAATTAGATTTCCTTCACCAACCCAAATTCTAGATTGAATTAGCACTTTCAAGCAGGTAAAAGTTATTACAACAGTTTAAGGAGAAATTTTTAAATATCTATTCTTACCCAATTTTCTGATCATCTAAGGAAAGTTATACTCTGTCATCCCCCAGCCATTTCTCTAAAAGTGATTGTAAAAAATAAGAAACTCTGAGTCATTTCTTAAATATGCTAAATCTGTTATAAGGGAATTTTACTGTTTTCTCCATAGTGAAGAGAATAGTCAAACAAGAAAATTATATGTATGTGTGTGTGTTACAGAATAGAACTGCCCCATAGTTTTCTTGGCCATACTCTTTATGGAAGCAGATTGACAGACCTTTCTTCCATAGTGCCACTGGGTAGATTTAAACCACCAACCTTTAACCATTTGTGCCACCCAAGGAGGTAGAAAAGACAAATAACCTCAGTTATCTAGACAAAATAGCAAATAGTATAAGTACCTGAGGTCTCTGGGGCCCTGGTCCCTGCCACATACCTTATGCAAGTAGATAGGGAATAGAGGGACCAGCTAACAGGCTGTTAGGAAGAACAGACAAGTGTAATACATAGGAGGGATGATACCCAAAATTTTCACCCTCGCAATGACTTCTGTGTAATTTTTTAGTTGACAGACACGTCATACTCGCCTCTAGTGTATGCAATCTAATCCATTGATTCTACACTAAAGTAGAAGTAGGTACTCCTGAGTCCTTGGACAACTTAAGGTTAAGTTAATTAAAAGTTTTTGCTGAGTGATATGCCAAGAGCAGAACAATATAGATTAAATTACAGACCAGTTATCTTCTATATGTGCAAATATGAGTATTAGCCTCTTTGAACCTTAGTTTCCTCATCTGTAAAATGGGATGATAATGTCTCATTGTTATCAATTTATTGTAATGATAAAATTAAATAGTAAATTCAAATATGCAGCATAAATTAGGAACTGTTAAATTATGTCATTTGTAGCAATAGTATGAGCAGTAAAAATAGTATTACCTTTATTATTTTAGAACTATATTGCCATTGCCCAGACTATAATGTTCCAATTTTGATAACATAAATTTTCCTATTAAGAGCATTATCTTACTAGAAGCCAATAAAATCCTTTAGGGGGAGGGGAATGACCAAATATTCAGTGTTAGTTCTTTAGTTCTTTTTGGATCTACTTATATCTCTATTATTAATGAAATTATAAACAAAATCTTACATTTTAAAATAAGAAATATGGACACATGCTTAAGATGTTGTCTTTACCTGATGAAATATATTCAAGACATATCTGAAAATTCTTATTTACAAACAGTACCATTACATTTCTATCATTCTGTGGACTTATGAAAATGCTAATATAATTTTAAAACAAAAATGAAACCTATATTTATAAAAAAAGCAAGAAGTATATATATATTCGTTCTGGTTACCTAGTGTCACTCTGACAAGAAATATACCACAAATGGGATGGCTTTAACAAACAAGAGTTTATTCTTACAATTTGGAGGCTTTAAGTCCAAGTTCAAAGTGCCAGGCTCTAAGGGCTGGGTAAAGCCCCTCAACCTTGGGGTCCAGCTCTGCCTCCTGCTCCCAGCCCACTGGAGCTAGAAGCATTTCTTCACTCAGACAGCTGCTGGCTGCTGAGGCTGAGAAGCCCCAAGGTTGACAAGTAAAAAGGCACAGTTCCGATATTACCAAACCACACGGCAGGCCATTAACTTAAGTCCATTTTAAGTCCCAAGGCTGGCAGAGCATAGCAGGCTACTGAGTAATGATACAGCTACATGCAGGGTCCAAGCATGCCATAGGCTATGGACCATTCTCAAGGCTTCTCCTTATATACAGGAAGCAGACCACGTCCCAAAGGCACTTACTCAGCTGCTTGTGGCAAATCCTACCATGGAGTTGATTGCCAGTCTCATCATGGGGAATAACTACCACCAGCTGCCCAGCCACTCAACCAGGCTCAGCCAAGTTGACACACAAACATAACTACCACAATATTTAAAAGCTAGAATTCTGTGAGATGTTTTCTTAAATTATGAAGGTAGTACATCTGTAGATCCATTTTGAAAACTCTGATCCTTTGGAGAAAAATATTATTAAATCAACTTTTAAAACTAGAGTCAAATGAAAATTAGAGAAGATATGCAATCAAAGTTTCAAGTACATAAGCCTGCTGGAATACTAAAAAGAATGTCACACAGTGATGAGGAATGTCCCAAATGAAGGATGTTTTTTAAAGGTGGTTGTTTTGGCACATAACCAACTGAAGTGTCATACAAATTGTTCTTTTGGTGACTAAGCAACATTTGAATCTTTCCATATTTTAAAGCATTTCATTTTTATACAGTAAGGCTGTACAATTATTTTTCCCTATTAGAACACCTAAAACTAGCCACAAATCACTGCATTATAGAATCTTAGCATGGTCATCTTTGCCAGCCCTTTTCCTCTACAGATGGGCAATGCAGTAGAGCAATTTAACAAGGACACACAGCTATGAGTGTCAGAACCAGATATCTCTGAAGAATTCCTAATTTTATTTATCCTTGTACTCTGTCTTGATTAAGAAACTATTTAGAACAAATTATATAAACTCCCAAGAATTAAATAATAAATATAAACCAAAAAAAACAAACTCACTGCCATCAAGTCGGATCTAACTCATAGCGACTCCTCTTGAGTTTCCAAGGTGGTATCACTACAGAAGTAGATTGCCCAATCTTCCTTCCAAGGAATGGCTGGTGGGTTTGAACCACCACCCTTCTGGTTAGCAGTCAAATGCCATAGGCACTATGCCACCAGAGCTCCCAATAAATATAGATGAGCTGATTATTATATAATAAATAATATATAATAGTATTTCTATAATTAATAATTTATTAATAAAATAAAATAATAAATATAATGTAAAGATAAAGGAAAGATTAAAATGAGAACAGAAGAGAAGTTAGTAGTACATAGATCCCATGCCATGTGGTCCGGTGCATTTTCTATCAGTGAGTCTCCAATTTGGGCTGGTGCTTTCTATCAGTCACCTAAAAAGGAGGATTTGAAGACATTATCAGTTACATGGTTCTCAATGTCTAAAAGATAAAAACATACCCATCTCTCCAGAGAAATCCAAGGCTTCCTTATATGGAACAATTAACTTTCCTAAAAGCATCCTATTGCTATTGAGAGATTCTATGGGCAAAATATTGAATGATGCAGGAAACATCAAGAGAAGATGGCAGGAATACACAGAATCACTGTACCAAAAAGAACTGGTCGATCTTCATTAATTTCAGGAAGTGGCATATGATCAAGGACCAATGATACTGAAGGAGGAAGTCAAA